ATTAATCGTGCCAACTGCCTTTGAAAAGCGCCTCTGCGGCAGATAACGGGTTTGAAATCAGATTGCAATGCCGGCGTCGACTTCAGATCAGAGCGAGACCTTCACCTGGCTTAGAGCCATTTCGTTTTCCATGATTGTCTAGAGCCTCCTTTCCAAGGTGGACATCACTGAAAGTAGTCCATCCTTCTCTTTCTGCATCGTGCCGAGGGTGAGGTATGGCTGACGTCGCAATCGGTCGGGGCGGTGTGAGGCGTGAGGCGTGCAATGAGTCTTCCCTGTTCGGGTTTCCTAACCGTAATGAACGATTAATGGATTATTGAGAAAGGAAACAACTAGTGGCAGAAAACGCCTTAGGTGGGCTCATTCCATCCAACATGACACCGCTCCGATATCAGCTCTACTTTTCAGTGTAAGTACTACCAATTCGATGGAAGGCAGCGTTCAGACTTCGCGACGGCAGCGCTTCGGTCGCGCGTTCGACGCGATCGATGCAGTCGAAAGCATGCGCATCGATCGCGTCGAACGCGCGACCGAAGCGCTGCCGTCGCGAAGTCTGAACGCTGCCGAAGACTTTCTGTTCTTGATTACTGAGATGAAACAACCACAGTTCATAAAGATACGTACCATATTGCATTAATCCACAACCAAGGCATGCGTTCATGTAGGAAAGCGAGTTCGTTGAGCCTTCGGACGGACTCTACGTAGGGGTGTTTATGGTTCTCTTGTGAGGAAATGTGGCAGCCCATAGCCGTCTCTGCAATTCAGTAAATTAGGGTAAGTTTGAATGGATGCTAAAACGTTCTCCAAACTCAGTTCAGCTCCAAAAAGGACAAAACTTCTAACATTGCGATGTGGGAATCACTATACCTCCCGTACTGAATATTTCGATTTGGGGCATTTCAAGTGAGATTGTACAAACAATGACTAAAGTAACAACTGGGCCACTCAGAAATTTAGACGCTTGCCCGAAACGGGTAGATAGCGCCACCTACTGCTCCCACTTCGAGTTACACTTGATTAGAATTGAAACGGCAGTTCACGAAGCAAGGGAAAGGAGCAGCCTTCAAGGCACGGTCCGCGATCAGGTATAGAAGTTGAAAATATGGCGTAGGGGTAGTGTGGTCCGCGACGAACAACCTTGTACCGGTTTCGCGGCAAAAATTGTAAGGGAGGGGCGCTATAGCGCAATATAGGTTCAGTGACGCCTCCTTTTCTCCAGTGACTCCGCCTCCAGACTCCGCCTTCAAGGCCCGCCTTTCAGTGAAAAACGAAGCTGCAGGACGAAAATGAAAATTGTCACTTGTACGGTCGTAGAGTTCTTATCAGGGAATCAGCTGGGTGGGCGGATGAGGGTATAGTGTTGGAGACGGAGTCAATTGGATATCGGGACACAAAATGGTATAGACATGGTGTTCCATCTGAGACAGTTGGCATGTTTCTTTCTGCTTTTTTCTTCACCGTCGAGTTTTTCAGAACTTTTGCCTCTATATGTGAACCCCTAATCCACTATCTGTGATGACGACTGATCGCGTTTGCCTTTATTGACCACAACAGTGCCTATCCTGAGTATCCTTTGCCCTAAGAGAGAACAGCTAAAACTGCTGCATACTTGTCCGTTACTGTACTATTTCAGTTGCTATTTTAGATCATATAGATGTTGCAGAACGCCACCGCAAATGATATCAAGAGCGCACCGCTTGACGAATGGGAAAAATGTCAAACTCTTCGCCATTTTTGGCAATCCTTTCCAACTTGATTAATGAATAATCTGAAGTAAATCTGTCTTTTATAAGATCAACAAACAGCTGCACGTCCACTCACAAACCTTCGCTTGTCTGTCGTGCACAGCCTGGAAATCGTTTAACACTTTGAAGTGGAACGAGGGAGTGAGGAAGTTTTCGCCTCGTTCGCCATTTCTCTCCTGAAAGATAATTACACTTGGGACGATAATTTCGCTGTTACTAGAAACCAAGTGATATGGCTCTTTTGTAAAGATTCGCAGCGACATAAGAACTCGAAGCTGAGTATGAAGAAGCTCTTGAGTGGGAGAACCAGCAATTTATGATAACTCTACTATTCGGTTAACGGATGGTCCCATTTTGGCACGAAGAAGTCCTCAGAGACTGCCCCCGCGCTCAAGTAATCGTGGTCATCCTTCCCTGTGCAAGCAGTCCGTCCCCAAGCTAGGAGACTGTCCCACTTTCGCGACTCCACAGCGAGCGAGGAGGTGCTACAGCCGTCGAAAGTTCTAGTTCTAACACCCGCTCAGTTGGACCGCCCACTTGCTAGATGTCCTCTCCACATCTGACGCGAGGCCGCTCAGTTGTTCTTTGTTGGGCGGCGGGCATTAATCGGAATTGCATGTCCTTTTTGCTGACCGCGCTCGTGCCCATAAATTTCTGCTCTCCTTTATTACATTTTATTCATTAGGAGCACATACAGTCAACAGCAACCCATCTCGCAAGGTGAAGACTTTCGAATCAGCAGTGATGTAGTTTTTTGGTGCAAAAGCCCAACGTGCACTGCTTACCGTAATCCTGAATTCGTATACGGAGTTTTTGAATGTTTCTTTCCGTCACGAGCTTTTGCATCAGTATTGTTGTGAACTTTTGTTTTCTTTTCATAGCAATGGGTGACATTTAGTACTGGGAGATGCAAAAAAGCGATTTGTGAGCCAGGGGTTGCACAGAGACCGCAGGGCGGTGTGACTGTCAGGGAGCGATTTTGTTTATGGTGTTCTTGAGGCTCTTTTTGCTTTTTTCTTCTTTAATCACTTATAAGCTTCTGGTAAATAATTGAACACAATCAATCGCGAGAACTGTCTTTGAGCGTGCCTCCACCACTACGATTGTTAGCGCCTACTACTCTTTTCGTCGACAAAAGCATCTACATTCGCACTCAACATTTTTAGAGCTCAGTTTCTAGAAGCACCAGCTTCTAGCTACGCCTCGATGGCTCGTACGGGTTTAACACGTTGACGACGAGCCGTTTTTTCATGAATTGCCCGTGGGACGGCACGTTTTTCTTCGTAGAAACTTAGTAATTTTTGAATAAATGAATGGCTACGGTCAAAGTGTTTCAAGAAATGCAAGATACGAGTATACGAATCTCGAATCTTTGACACAATTTAGCTTTTATTGCTCCAATCTTCCAAAACCAGGCCATTTTTTACCAACTTCTTCCTCTGGAGGCATATTTGGCTGAAAATTTGTCTCCCGGTGTAGCTTCAAAAGATTCATATCGCATCCCCTTGGCCCGAAAATCCTCGATTTTTCAGAAAAGAAAATGAAACAACCGCGCAGATTTTGATTATATAATGACTGTCGGGCAGCATTGGGTGACGCCGTCCCACAAGATAAAATGGCTGTCGTCCACCATTGACGGAAATCGTCGTCAACGCATTAAGTGGACATGATATTCTTGTTTAGGGGGTCGAACTACCCCTAGGGACAAATTTTCAGCTAATTTGGTGATTTACGGTATTTTGGCGCCGGCGCCTGTGGCGCGGGCGCCAGGTAGTTCGTGCCAAGCAGCTGTGGTATTCATTTCAGAGGGACAAGCTACCCCCAGGGACACGTTTACGACAAACTTGGCTGTTCGTCCATCTTTATTCTTAGAAAATATACTGGCAGACACCATTGTCTGCCATCGTCGTCAACGTGTTAACGGGTCCCTAGTGCAGGCCTTATCTAGCTCGGTTCAGTTTGGTTTTTCACTTATCGTTCCTATTTCTTTAGTTCGTGCTCTCGCTACACGTTAGAAGTTCGCACCTTCTTGATCCTTTCTGAATTCCTCATTCATGTGAAGAAAGTGTCCACAAACTGTTTGTAAACACTTGCCTCTTATGAACAAGTCTTACATCATTAAAGCTGAACGACATCTGGGTATCGCTGTACTCTCCTCTCAGAAAGGGCCCTGCGCTCACGACTCCCCTACCCTCCCTCGCCGTCAAATACGACCCCCTCTTGTGATTATCACAACGGTGGCGTGCCTGCTGCACAAGGAATTCTTTGACAAATCAGAGCAAAATAATGGACTATTAACGCTCCTTGTGTTCTATGACGCTGCGCTGAAGTAGTGCCTGGGTGCATACATTATCAAATCTTATCACAGTTGTGTTCCATTAGAAAACACCGCGACACGATCGATGAGCACCTGCTTTCTCGTGGTGTTTTCACAGTACTTAAAACTAGAACGGAGTCTTCTTCGATACCGGACGGTGAGCGGTCGGTTCACTCCACTCTCTCCGAACCGACGTCTTCTTCGACTCGCCTCGTCAGCATAGAAGATACTCCTTGGCCCAGGAAGCACTGGAACGGCCGGGTCAAGTATGTTCCACCCTCTATTCAATTCCATTCACTTCGCCACACTTAAAGGCACAGTTCGCGACCGCAAATTGCGGGAAACGGAACTCAAATAGGCACAAAAAA